ATGAAAAAAAAATATGAAGACCCCCTTTATAAAGACAATTTGTAATGCAATTTTTATTTTGCTGATTAAAATGGTAAAGGTAAGTAAAACAAATGTTGTAGCTGAAACACTTCCCTGAAGTCTGCAGGCTGAATCGCGGTTGCCATCAAAATGTAGTTGCCTAGTTTGTGATCGGCCCTGTTTGGCTTAACCCACCTTTCCTGGCCTGAAGTGTGATGCAACGTCTGTAAGAACAGGATTGCAAACTATGTTTTTAAACATTTTTTGGTTTTATTGATTGAATCTTATTTAGTTCAAACATTTTGTTAGATAAGATGTCTGAGGTTTCAATCTGGTCTGGCTAGGACTTCTTTGCATATCACCTATCTCTCCACTTCTTTATGTCTCTGCTTTCAGTTGTCTGATAAATGTAAAAACGACCCACAATGTTCTCAGCAGGTGGATCATATCCATAATTTCTTACTGTGAGCTGAATAATGATTTGAGCTCAGCCCTGTTAGTAAAGCAGCCACGTCTCAGCATGTAGGGCCCACTAAAAGCCTGTTTCCCCCTACTTAATAGCCCTTAAGGGCATGTTTAAATTGTACTTCATAGGATAGCTGCACATCCAATAATCAGGACGGCGTGTCCGTACACAATCAGGCAGGTCAAAGACTGTTTGAATACTGCCATGGATAACAGATGACGTTTTACCAACACACCTGTCACTGCATGAACAGTGAGCATGAACTGTTCATCAATGTGAAAGTCAACCACAACATACAAATCCCTGATCAGCTGACACTACTGATTTGCTGGATTTTTTTTATTTTAAGCAGTTTCATGCAAGCGATTTTAGCTTTAAATGTATACTTGCATGCGTGATAATAGTTATTCACACAATATCTCCTAGAGAATTTGGTGCAACTAGTGTAGAATTTCTAAAAAGGCAGCATCAATATTCTTGAAATGATTATAGTTAACTTTTTGTGTAATCTTTAATCATTACCAATGACGGCAACGTTGCCCTGCACGATTGCTCTAAAAGTTGCTCTGTGTATCATCAGCTTAAGAATGATACAGGTGTAACTTCTTTGTGGTTACAGGTGCAACAAACTTGATAGGAGGGTCAGAGAGACGTCAATCAAGCAGAATCACCCCCCCCCACAATGATAATGTTAAGCAGGCATAATGTTTACTATGTTCACTATCTTGTTCAGTGTGTTTGCGTTTACATTTGCTAATTAGCACTGACTGAATAAAAAGTTTGACCTGATAATGTCGCTGGAGGTAATGGCAAAGTTATTATAAATTATCCTGTGGGGGGAGGTCATGAATATGTGTACTGTGATAGCAATCAGTCCAATAGTTGTTGAGAAATTTCATTGAAGGCCAAAAATTTCAACCTCATGGTGGCGCTAGAAGAAAGGTCAGTGGATCACTACAGGTAAGAGGACTCATTCCTTGTTGACCATGAACGTCTCTGCAATGTTTCTTTCCAATCCAACCAATAGGTACGGAGATATTCCACTCTGGACCAAAGCGGTGGACCCACAGTATGACATTGCCATCCCTTGAGTTGAGCTGCTAGCACGGTTTAAGATACACTGCCACAAACTAAGACAGCAGGTGGTGCCGTCATCCCAATTCCAGAGGATAGCGACACTCAATGATTTGGCTGAATGTCCAGTAAGTAGACTGCAAAATCATTTGAAAGAAAGTCACACCTAGGGCCTTGAAACTGCATTGCTAACATGTTAGCAAACGATTTACTGTACATAAGCAGCAGAGCAACATTTGTTTGTCCCTCTTCACCTAGTGTCTTACTTTGTCTGCGGTTTGGTTCTGGACAGTTATTTTACATTTACCTGCCATCTATTCTTAACTAAAAGTTTGATTTTAAGTTTGTTGTTTTGGGTGTTTTCACAAAGTGAGTGACTCAGGTTAATTTAGGTGTGTGAGACGGGGCTCAGCTACATGCATTCTCTCAGGACTTTGATTTCCTCTACTCCACCAACTTCCCTTGAACTGAGGATGAACTGAAATGTGTGTAGAGGACAGAGCCTGGAGCTTGCTGTAGGTGTTGGGTGTGTGTGCTAAGACCAGTTTGTGTGAGTATGTACTATATCTGGTAATAATTATACCAATAACACTATTTGATTTGTACTTTTGGCTGCTGAAATAAAATAATAAACCTGATTACAGTTCTCCTTAATGTCTTATTACTAAGTCACCACATCTGATTATAACGATAATAAGCAAAGGTTCATTTATAGCAATTTAAACAATATAAACTGAATTTTGGGTATAGAAAAGAACATTTCAAGTCAAATATTATTGTCACATTTACAATCATAAACAGCACAATGTATGCATAATTCGTTCTCCGCATTTAAACCATCCTAATTAGGTGCAGCGGCTGCCCCACTGTGCAATGCCTGGGGTCCAACACCAGATCTAAGCCAGTGGTTTGGCCAAGGGCACTGACTGGATAAATTAACCTAACATACATGTTTTGGTGGAGGAGGAAACCCATACAAGCACACATTTCCAATGTAACTGATGCTCTTACCTCAACTACTGCGTAGTGTCTTACTCAAGGACAAGTGGCACCCATTGAACTCATTAATGTTGCAGGGTTTGAGCTTGTGACCTACTAGTTACTGTACGGCCTGTGTGGACAAATGGTTTGCTTGTATATTCAGTGTGAGTGCAGCCCTCTCGCTGTGAACAGACACATTATTAGTATTCGTGGTGGACCAACATGGCTTCCAGCATGTTCTGGTCCAGCTGGCAGCAAGACCCCAAGCGCACACACACACACACACACACACACACACACACACACACACACACACACAGGCTTTTGTACTGTACTTGTGAGGAGCCTCCTTAAATATGCCATTCCCTAGTTGCTAACTTTATCACGACTACATGTCTAACCCAAACCCTTAAGCTAAAGTGAGCACTGGACAAAATATCCTTATTAGGTGTAAACTCAGATGTTCCCTCACATTACACAACTACATTTGCAAGTATATTGTATTGACTGGAATTGATTTAACTTAATATATAATGTTTAACGTTGTGTGATCAGATATTTGTCCCTAGTACCACTTTGCTTGTCACCAGAATGTGATTTAATGTGACAGAAAACACACTCTACATCCTTTTGAGGACAATACATTGTTTAAAAAGTGTTTTTGCCATAATCATTTCATGTTGCTTGTAATTCTGTTTACTGTGGCATTTGGATATTAAACATCTTGTTAGCTCTGTTGTATCGAGATACTAAATTATGTTCTCTCTCTCTCTCTAACCACTAACTAATGCATCTAATCAAATCTCCACAACAAAAAAGTCGATCAAACACCCTGAGGTTAGTTAACCAAAAAGAAACCATATTGACCCTAATGGATAAGATCAGTCAGAACATGTATTGCTTCATTACCAAGGATGTCTATTTTGTGTGTGCATGTATGATGAATGGCAAAACAAGGAAAAGCTAATGAAGCTTGGCAAAACAAGTAGAGATGGGGTAAAAGTTTGCAGGAGCAGGTCAGAGTGATGCTAAGGAGTGAGCGAAGAAGCCAGTGTCCTCAGGGGCCTTAAAGACGTGCACATAGTCTGCAACACATAGAATAAAGATTTAAACAGGCCAGTCTCTGATATTGTTTTAACCTGCATACAATGATTGAAACAGATTTTAACACTGCGTCATGCATTTGGTTTTGATAACCTCATGGCTCGTCTTTATTTTTTTCTCATGCATTGTAGACTTGCCGAAAACAGTCCGTCTATTTTGTATGTCTTTGTTAGGTTATTAAAAAGTAGTTTGATTATGGAAACAAGTTGTATCCACAGATGAAGTAAAATTGCGGCAAAATATTTCAAATGTGAGACTCACCTCCATCTTTCTATCAAACCCAGTGGCCAAAAGAAGGCCAAGGGTACTGTCAAATCATATAATTGTTAAATTAATAGTCTGCCCGTATCCGTATACGTTATCCGTAATTTTAAATAAAACGTGACTTAAATATAAAAAATTGCTAATAATTTTGGTTGAGGATCGATTTTATTTGGTCATGAAAATAAAGCTCATCCAAACAATGAAATAAATGTTTGATAGTTTTCTATTCTGTGAAAGCCCTCAAACCAACATATTTACCAAATGGTGCACTGATGAACATTTTTAACATTAAAACTAATTCATGTAACGTGCAGCTCAATCTTATTTCCAGCAGCAGAGGATTGCAGGTAGCATACAATCTCTGATGAACACTGACTGAGCTGGTGAAGAAAGTGAAATATCCAGCAGGAGTTGGTAGAGACCAAATCAGAGCTAAACATTCATCAGGTGGAACGTTGCTCTTTGTGTGTTCGCTGTATAAAGAGGCAATTGTTTGCTAAAATGTTAGCAAAAAGACAAAAATAAGTCAGGGCTGTCTTCACAGTTTGGTAGTTTTTCTCCCCCCAAGCGGTCATAAATATATTATTGCCGGTTTCATTTGTTTTAAATGAATTTGGTCCGTGTCTAGACATTGGAAAAATAGCTGAAACTGAGAATTTCAGACCAACTAGCACATTAGCCAGACCCATCTGTGCTTTGAAAACAGAAAAAAACGAACACTGGGTAAAAGGAACATTAAACCGGTGAAGTGATGTGGGGACAGGTGTATTGTGCTCCCTTTTGTGGACCAGTGGAGGCGGCACTTTTGGATGAAAAGAGGGCAGAACAAAGACTTGCCCTAATACAAGGAAATAATACAGGCAAGATGTAAGGAAGGCATGCATCTATGACTGTTTCCAAGATCTTCTCAGAGAAAAACAGAATCAAACACATTTTCCTAAGTTTAACAACTCAAGATTGCATTGTAATTTAATATAAACCCAGTATCTATCTCATGTTATGAACCCATCCCTCCCACAACCTATACAGTACAACACTGAATAATCAGCTGTAAAGATGGATGTCTTTCCGTCACAGGGATGTCAGACAAAAATACACCCTACAGCAAGAATTTATTTGCAGTTTTTAATACTTTTTCTTTAATGGTTACACAGATCCTTGAGTCGAGTAACAGAAAGCAGAAGATCCAACTCCAACAACCTTGACAATGTTCAAAAACAGGTAAAGAGATTTTTGTTCAGAAAACCTTTAATCGTTAATAGAATTAGTATTATGACATATTTCAATAAATATTTAGATATATACAGATACAGCAGAAACGGTACATTCTTTTTTCTCTTCAAATTGCTTCACATTTTTTGTACAAGCCAAAATATCTGCCATTGTATTTATATTCATGCAAAATATTGTTTCTCAGATTAATGAAAACTAAAAAGGATTTGCTGAACTTTTCTTTTTTTTTTTTTTCATCCTGCTTTGATGTGCGCTCTCGGATTATAAGCATCATAATGAGCTTTGTAATTTTTGCAAATCAAAACGGGTGCACTTTGTGCCAATACACAATAGAAGCAAGTAAAGCAAAATTAAGGCCATTCCAACTTGTGCAAAGAAAATAAATAAATAAATATAATAATCATAGTACTAATAATGTTTCCTTTCAGTCACAGCAGTTCAGGAGTCACTGTATTTTTCCTTCCCCACTAGGGCATCCGATTGTACAATAGATACAATAAAATACAAGAGAATCAACCAAAACCAATATAACCATTGTCAAATCAAACCATGCTACTTTTAAAATCCAGTTCAGAACCTAAGGTTTTATAAACTTCTAAAACACATCCTTCATTGTTCAATCCGTATGCATCACATCACACCGTGATGCAACATAAACTCAGTATCTATCGCATGTTATGAACCCTTCCCTCCCCAAACCCATACAGTATAACAATGATTAATACAATGATGTGAGGCCTATTACAATGCTCTAAACTGACTATGATACACAGAACACCCACGCCTGAGGAAAGGGAATGGATCATGTAAAATGGTAGTTGAATGAATGCAGGATATGCTTTTAGGTATTGTTTTTTTTTAGTTGCATATTCAACCCCCATATGGCACGAGAAGAAATGTACGCTCTAGAAAATGGATGACTGCGTTTGGCAAAGATGCTGATGTTCAGAAGTTATTCCAGATGCAGTGTCTATGGCACAGAAGGAAAAATTAATCATCCTAATAAGACCAAGCATTTTTTTACGTTTCCCACAAGGGTTTAGGTTGCGATCAGCGGGGGAGGGCTAACTGCACTCACTCTGTAGCCCTGAAGGGACTCTAGATGGCGGTGTTTTATATTTGCATTTCTAAAGTCAACAAACTGCCTCCATTCTCCTTAGCATCCTAAAAGCTTTCTCTTGGTAAAATTATGTTTTTATTATGTAATTATCTTTTTTCTTTTCGTTTTTTTTTTTTTTTACTTGTTAATTGTGCCTCTAAAAGTCACAAAATCTGTGTTTTAAAATCTTGTGCCCACGAGATCTATTACTTGTACGTGCAAGCTAAGAGTCTCAGTTTAAATCTTTTGGGGCTTTGTGGGCTTTTTATGAAGAACACATTTTGTTACTTGTAATGACAGGTGCTACATACATTTAACTGGCTAAGTACCATCCCGACTCTACATTGTTTCCACGTTTGTAACCGTAAGAGTTGGCGTTACTAGCATGATCATTTTAGGATTAGCTCTGAGCTGCTTTTTGAAAAAACTATGAGCTTTTTATTGGAGCTTAAATTTATCTGTGTCGCTAACACAAAAGAAAGACTACACAGGTTAATTTGGCCCAACAAAGAAATGCTGTCTGGAGGCTGCACACAGATTTCCTATCAAGCAAGCTAAATAGCAAATTGTATAGCCTTTTGACTAGATAAGTACCGTGCCAACTCCCCCTATGTTTTGCTCAATGTTCTTTACATATGTAAGACTTCACAATACTAGAAAGCTAATTTTAGCATTAACTGTGCTTTGTTATGGAAACACTAAGGGCTTTTTCTTGGAACCTTTCTTGGAAGAAAGGGTGTAATTTGGTGAATTTACTAGTTCTTATTGTGACTCCATACAGCTACATCATAAACAACGCCATTTAGAGTTACTTTTGGGCAAGTCAGTATGCAGCTACATAATTAGTTTTGGCTGACTCAGAAGAGATAATGAAGGACTAAATGAACCACAAGAAGTAAGAGATTCCTGTGTGTGCTTGTGATAAAAGAGGATCTTAATCACCAAAAGGTCAGATGCTGTAAAAGCTAATAATGTTCACCATGAAGCTGAAAGACAAATGTCACTCCAGGCTTTGCTCATTTTTTCTTTGTCTAAAACTGATGGTTGCATCTTAAATGCCAGCTGTAAATTTAGCGGGAGACATGTACGTATCTGCTGTAACCTAATCATTAAAAAATAAAAATAAAGCGTCCTAGGTGATCATGGCCTTAAAAATATTAACAGCGCTGTATCTGGGATTAATTTACTGAATTAAATGCATAGTTTTAGGGATGAAGCGTATTCTATGGCACTTCCACTTTAAAGTTAAAACATGTTGGAATGTCAAACGAAGAATGTATGTGCATGGCATAGCCCTTCGGATCAGTCTTACACACATTTGGAAATTCATTAAATTAGTATTAAATTTATGATGGAATGAAACAAATGGAAAATATCTCCTATACGCAGATGTTGACACTCTGTAAAAATTATCTCTTAAACAAAAGTAACAAGATCAGAGGAGTCAAAAACCTCTCAATGTGTCAGTTTTACTTGTGTAGGTAATGGGGGATTAAGGGATAGGTAGGTGATTTATCAAATAAAAATAACCTGCTTTCTTAAAAGGAAGCAATACAAGAATGTAGAGGGAAAATGCAGAATTTTTTCATATCAAAATATGTCTATATATATTATAATTTTATATGTATATCTGAAGTTAATCTGGCAAATCCAATACTGCATCTGGCAGTCATAATAAAAAGACAAACTTGAATATGATCACATCCAGTAACAAATCTTGAACAGTTGGCCTACAGCAGCAGCAAAAGGCAATTAACACTATGTCAAACACAAGAAACAAACATATCTTTGGTTTTGCTTCAAAACCAAGTTGGACTGGGGCTTAAACATTTTGACAAGGAGAAAGTTTAATTGAAATAGTAATTTCAGCCCGATCAACAGTTCGTTTAGACTGTTACTGAACCACGGTTTACAAAAACATTATTATTATTATTTATTTATTATTTAATTATTATTGTGAAGTTAAATAAGTTTTAATTAGCTTATGTGTCCTCACTCGGGACAAACGTTTGTCTGATGTGCCAGAAACATTTTCAACTTCACAATCAAAGTCCAGTTGATTTTAAATTCTTGACTCTGAGGTGATTCTTCACAGAAAAGATGGTGAAACAGTTTCAGTTAAGTGGCTCCAAGTTCTGACAGAGTTTTGGCTCTGTTGGCTTAATCTGTTTGCTGATGATTTCTACTATAACATTTGCTTTTCTCCATACACTAATCTGCATGCATGAGGGACGAAAGCCCATGGACTGGTTGCTACTTCATCACTTTGATTTATCCCTTTATCTTTCAGATGAGATGAGACGAAATTTGAGATTCGAGATTGTGTTCACGAGATCGAGACGAGACGACTTTAGTCTTTAGTGCTTAATTATATAAAAATTTTGAGCATTAAACACTTTATTTCCTGCATTCGGATGAATTTTTCTACACCAGTTTATGGTGAAAATGTTTTTATTTCTGCAAAGAGAAACACAAAATTCAAGTGGCAGGTGATAGTTCAAACTCTGCAGCCTAACTCTATCAGAATCTAAGTCAGTGCAGCTCTCAGTCATTCTGTGCTGCTCAGATCAGATCTGTTTTGTCCTGTTGATCAACTTGTTTAATATTATCCCTGCTGATTCATGATTTAGTCTTTCCTCCTCTTTGTATCTTTGTTTGGGGAAGTAACCTCTTTAAATGTGATTGTGGCACCTTTTCACCCCAATAATAAATTATTTAATTTTAAGTCAGTTAGAAAGTCTTGCTTGTGCCTGAGGTTGCGCCTCAGTTTTTAGATGTTTATGTTGCAAAACTCTACCAGCTACATTATCACTCGTCACAGCTGTCTGGAGTCACAGCATGAGCGGTGCGGTTCAGTTGATTACTATCAGGGCGTACGCTGATTGTCGCATCAGCTGGGCGGAGATGATTCGCTCTGTGTGTCTCTCTTATCAGTTATAATTACATTTGTATTTCACTGCGTGACAAAATTAATATGTGGCTTGACAGCATGTGAAAAATGGCAATTACGTGAGTCTCGCTAGACAGCATTTTACCTGGCGAGAAATATCGTCATAATTGATTTCATATTTTTACCAATGAGCATGAAAGACGGTACAGCAGTTAGCAGTGGGATGAAACAACTCACCAAAAGGTGGCGTTTTTGAGATGGAGTTGCTAAAAGGAATCATAATTGCATATACTGATCATTGCATAGAGAAGCCTGGCGCAAAGTAAAAGAGCAATAAAGTAAGCTGATATATTATCAATCAAACCAACTGACCTGTTAAAAGATCAAATCCCGTCCAACATGGCTATGGCAAAATAAATCTTGCTGTTACACTATCACGTGCATGATGACGTAGCTTTTCACAATTGATGACGTTTGCAGCTACAGTTGAATGAGATGGAAATACAGTTAATTAAGGTATAACAGGTGCTATAATCTGTATAATTTACTACATATGTCCTCTCAGCTGGGGAAGGGTAGGGTGTCACATTAAGGCGGGGTCAAAGCAAGGAAGCACTACTAAGATGTAAACATATCTGTGGTTCATTCTCAGTGAACACAACAAGGAAAGCAAACGAGGATCTGCATTTTTACTCTGTCCAGGATCGATTCGCTTTTTTTCCAGTCGATGAAAACAAACTATTATCTCAGGAATTAAAAAAATCCAAAAGAAGCCTGTGAGGAGACGTCAATCGACACGGAGAGTGACGTCAAACCATCCACCCTCCTCTTTACAAAAAGGTCGGAGCTGCAGAGCGCTGCACTGCCACAAGCAACATGTTTACTTGGCACATAAATTAAGAAACAAACCAAAAAAACAACAACAAATGCAATATGAAATAAATTAAGAACAGGTAGGAACACGTTGACCACAGATAAATGAGATATTTTCTCTCAGTCTTCAGCACTGCTTGTTCAGTGTTTTGTTTTTTTGTTTTTCTTTTTGTCCAGTCATGTGTTCGACAGCAGCAGCAGCAAATCTCAAGTGTCTCTGCAGTTCAAGGTTTCGTGGTGTTGGCGGCGGGAGGGGGGGGAGGGGGAGGAAAAGCGCTGAGGAGTGCTTGCAATACATGTTTGAAGCAAATCTAGATATATAGAATGCGTGATCCTTGCATCGCTTTATTTAATGGAAGCACCGATCCGCTTTCCTTCTCTTTTTTTTGTTTGAAAAATCTCTCATTTCTAGATACCCGCCTTTGGAAATAATGTTCTTTTCCCCCTCATTTATGATAGATATGAGTATATTACACTGCTGTATGCTTCTCGCACATCCCCCCACCCGTCCCGACATCACTTTCATATAGAATTATATATCTTCCTTCACACAAAAAAAACTAAAATCAAATAAGAGACCCTTTACAAGACTCTCTTGTGATCTTCTTTATTTCTTGTCCGTCCACTCCCACACAGTTTGTTGGGTGTGCCTGCAAAAGTCTGTATTTACTTTTTCATTTTTCATCTTTTCATTAATATATTGCCACATTCATATATCATGCATTTTACTGCATTGCTATTGCACTGGTCCGGATTATTCAGGACGTGTAAAGAGACGGGATGGGGGTAGGGTTTTGGGCAAGAGAGGAGAATTAAAGCCAAAAGAAAGCAATAATAATAATTAACGTCTAGTAGGTGTCAGGTAGGATTTGAATGGTGAAACTGCCGCAAAAAGCGGACAAGAAAAGCGGGCGTGGTTGGCATGAAAAAAGGGGCAATGATATCTCCTATTGAAGTCATCTCTTCCTCCGTTTCTTTCTCCCTTTTGTTTCTCTGCATTCGCACTGTTCTCGCCCTCCTCCTCCTGCGCCTCTCGACTACTGCTTATGGACGTCCTCGCTGCGGATGATCTTGTAAGTGATCCAGTAGAAAATGTTAAAAATGAGGAAAACGAGTGGGAAGGCCACACGGGACACCGTGTCGATGCGCTTGGCCCGGCCAATGAACAGCTTCTTCATCTCCTCAATGCTCTTCTCGGGCGCCGCCGAGGCCGGGGCGTTGTTGTTGTTGCCCTTGATGGCCATGCCGTCTTTGGCCTGCAGGCAGGCAGGGCCCATGCCATAGCCGGGGAAGCTGAAGCGCCCCTCGCCTGTCTCATCCTCCTGCAACACAGGCCAAGACTCAGGCTGTTAGGAACCAGAGAAAGACGTTACTGTTGGAGGTGTCTGTGTTTGTGAGTGAGTGTGTGTAAGTGTGATGGGTGTTGGATGTAACTACATGCTGTTGGAGGTGTGTGTGTGTGTGCGTGTAACACCAGTTCAATTTCAGTTCAGTTAATTACAAAGAGGCTCAGACATAGAAAACCAATTTCTGTTCATATTCCCTGTTTTCCAGTCACCATTAAACCTTTTATTTAATAGATAGATAAATTAAACAGCACTAGCAGATGATGCCATAGGTAGCCTGACATACAAGACCTTAAAGCCAATATAAGAGTGTCACCTAATTCTATTTTTTTTAAACTTAAAGGAATACTCATTTTTGTACATTCAGCAGAGAGATTGGTCCAGGAAATATTCAGTCAAGCTTAGCACAAATCCTGGAAGCTAGTCTCTAGGAATTATACGCCTTCCAGCGGTTGAATCTTTATAGTTTGTTACCACTATGTTCTATATGCAGCTGTATTAACATGGTGACATTTACAGTACTACTCTTCAAACAGACAGTACCGTTTTCCAATGGTCAGTTGTGGCTGATTGATATTTGGATGAGTAGAAGTTCAATGGATTTGTCCATGTGTAATGAAGGAGCGCCGAACCGATTAGCTTTCTTCACAGTTAGTTATTCTTTCACCGGAGCTATAGCATTCAGAAAAGGAATGGAAAAGGAGGATATTACATCCATCCACTCTTTATCAATAATCGCTTATCCTGTTCATGGTCACGGTGGCTGGTTACACCTGAACAAGCAAAAGACAGACAACCATTCATCTGTTTACATCTTCAGGCCATTTGCACAGTTTAGCACCAGGAGCACCCTGCAGACGTAACCTCCACACAGAAAGATCCCAAATGTAGGATTCATAAACTTCTGAGCTGAACATTGATCACACTACATCCAGCACTGAGACCATGCTGTTATCTCGTCTTTGTAAAAGTCATCAGTGTGAGCGGAAGCTGAACACCGAGCGTGTTTATCTCACCTGTCAAGGAGAGTAAGGAGGTTTTTGATGGATTGGATTGATTGACATGCGCTGCACTCAGGGTTATGGCGTGTGCGTGGCTGTGTTTTTACCCAGGCACGGTGAGATATTGGAAATCCTATCTGCACCGTCACCCTGCCTTTTCATTACAGGAGACACAATGACTTCCTTATCTGGTTTCAGAGACTCCAACACAAACATTGCGATAGGGTGAGAGACACAGAGTCTGTGTGTGGAAATTTAACTAGGAATATAACAGGTGCTCCAAAGTGCCCTTCAAAGTTAAAACAACACCCATGAAATTAAAATTAGCAGACAAAAAGCCCTCCGATGATTGGCAGTCATCTTTGTTTTGGAATTCACATTTCTGATAAAAGACGATGTCATAAAATTCATGCATGAATGCGACTTGCGTTCCCTATGGGCCACTGTGGGAAACTGTCTGGCAGCCTATCAGCAGGAAATCTTTACATTGCATTCTGGGATAGAAAAAAGGAGCATATTGTGATCAGAAAACAAGCAGAAATGCAGCCTGAAGCAGGAGAACTGTTGGCAGCGGGGGAACTTAATGACTGACGCAAAACCTCTGCAGCAACAACAAATCAACCAGCCAGTAAAAAAAAAAAGGCGGCTCAACTCTCTTTTGTTAATCAGCCTCTACAGTAGTTTCCAACAGAAGGAAAAAGGCTCAATAAATAGTCAATAAACCAATAATCAGCAATATCCATCAATAAAATGTCAGAAAAGAGGATAAAAATGCACCTAAAAATCAGATGGGGCAAATGCAGATACAGGAGGGAGATTTCTTCCCCTTCTTTTGTGTGTAGGCTGGCATGTATAGCATTCATATATATGTATGTGTGTGTGTGTGTGTGTGTGTGTGTGTGTGTGTGAGTGTGTGTGTAGATGAATGTATGTCAATGTGTGTGCCTACAGATATGTGTGTTTGTTAGACCACCAGGTAGGGATCCATTTTTAGCGTCCCATGTCCCCGTTCTGTCCTTGTGTCCACACCAACCTATCTATTACTGTTAATACATGTACACACACACACACACACACACACACACACACACACACACACTAGCCACGATGCTAGCCGACCTCTGTCCGTCCTTCAGTGACGCAGCTAAACTATTACAGATGCTCTGCTTTATTCTCCCTGCCATGTGATTAATGTGGAGGGCGGAGGGACGTGAGGAGGAGGCGCAATGAGGAGCACAATGTAGGGAGGAGGAGGCATGATGAGGAAAAGAAAGAGAGGAGGAGGAGGAGGAGGACAATGAGGGAGGCAGGGGAGGAAGCCCTGCAGGCTGAGAGACACTCTTCAGGGCAAAAAAGCTCTCTTACCGCTTTTAATGTCAGAAGACCCCTGACTGAAACCAAACTTACGCCCTTGGCTTTCCCAGTTGATTCATTACATTCACGCCTAATTATTAATTTCCTCCATTTACACAGCAAGGACTGGGCTTGTACGGTCCATGGATGGATGGATAGATGTATGAGTGGAGGGATGAATGGGTGGAGGGAAGGACACAGGGGATAAACGGTAAGATGAATGGAGCTTTGCCCTTTGGGAAACAATTTACGGCCTCGCTTTAGGATGCAGCTCACTCCTCTTTCCCTCTTCTTCTTCTTCTTCCCTTCATCCTCTTGCTATCATTGTCCTCCTGACCTCCTCTTGCATTTGCAAACCTTATGGCCCTTTCTACAGTGATTAACTCACATGCCATTTAAAAACAAAACAAACCGCTGAGTGAAACAACACGCACACTCTTTGTGTGTTTTCGCCTGTGGTAAAATTCAGATGGTTCAGCCAATCCCAACAAGTGATGTCACACAGGCAACAGCTACATGGCAATGTAACAACAATAGTAAATCACCTTCTTGTTTATGTCTTGCAGCAGCTGGTGCACTTGGACAAAGCCCAATCAAGACCTCTCTCATACTTCATATACAGTTCAAATGAGAACACTTCATATAGATAGATGCTTGCAAGGCTGCGCATGTGATGCATCAGTCTGCACATAGCCTACAACATGTGACGGCAATTACTAAGCCTATTTTACTGAGGTAGTCAGTGGCAGTGGGGATAAAGAAAAGAGAAAGAAATGGAAAAGACAGACAACAACAAATTGAAAAAGAGTGTGGAAGAAAAAATGGTGGAGAGTTGGAGAAAAATCCTCAATAAAATGAAGGCAGAGCGATGGATGGAGGAAAATAGATAGAATGGAGTGAAGAGAGGGAAAGAAAAAGAAGAGAAGCGAGCAAGAGAACCTCTTAGCTCACCCATCCATCATGCTTTCCTCTCCCGATTGAAGCATTTATATCTCTGCCTCTGCTGATGTGATTAATCGAGCAGATTAGCAGGAAGCAGAAAGCAAACTGCGTCAGGCCTGCTATCCTCTGCCATCTCCTCTGCAAATATTACCCTTGGATACTTGTTTTAGAGACCTGCATTAACATAAAACACGATTGGGAAAGGTGTCAGCCCCAACTAATGCCGGCATCAGTCTCTCCTAAAAGAGGCCGGAGGAGGAATTCCTTGGCTTGCGTTCCGCTTTATGATTTCCCCCCAGAAGCAATTCTAGCCGTGCAGTGGGGAAGGAAATATATTATAAATTTGCCATTGCTGATCCATTTTCTGGGGGATTCATCTCAAACCGCCCTCCTTTTCCCCGTTCTCCCCTCTGCCTCTGTCCTGGATTAAGGCCATTTGAGGCTTTTAAGGATGTTTCAGTATCAATATGTCTGCGGTGAGTGGATTCTGTGTAGCTGAGAGGAATGTCTGAGTAGATGTGAGTTTAAAAAATGTAAATTCTTTGGTCTGCTGCTTTACTTATAAAGATATTTAAAGGTGGACGCACACAACATTTTAGTTGGAGCTGCTGCTAGTATTATGTGTAGACATTCATTTTCTTTAAATGTGTGATTTAAAGTTGGGTAAGAGTGATATCAGCTGGGATGGACTGTACTTCACACCCGAGAATATGTCCAGGATCCACCCCAAGTGACCACTTGTGATTGGATTTTGCATCCCAGCCTGCATTTGATTTTATCTGTGAGATAACTGTGACTGCTGTTGAGAAGATAACGCGTGTGCCCAGACATCCAGTGAGGAGGACAGACGAGGCTACGTGGTCCTTCCCTGTTTACAAGCCCTTGTATGGCACAAGAAACTGGGGTTGTCAATTGTGAGCTTGTATCCCTGACCACTTTAAGGTACACACAACGGCAATCAATCAATCAATGAGGAGGTTGACACACAGCGCCACTGTGTACTGTTAACATTAACTCAGGCAGAGGACTACATGAGCTGACTGGCATCAGTTGTCTCCCTCAGAGACCAGGGCCTTTACCACCAAATCCAGTGCTGGAAATAGGGCCTGTACTCACCGGAACCAGCACATCTACATGTTTCTCTTCGGTGTACAACCGTGACTTTCTCTTGCGCAAGCTGCCGTTACTCTATCAGACCTTTCTATATGAGGTTCTCTGGGCGATTTAAAACACCCTAAAAAAAACTGTATACCCAAGGGGTGCTAGGCGATGCTTATCTGTTCCCGTTCTTGCCTGGCTGCTTTTCTCTGTCGGCCAAATTAAGCCCCTCACCGTATTTACAACTTTCATGAGAGGATGAAGTAGAAAAGAGAGAAAAAAACCCACCCAATTATAGCGAATTGAGTGAAAAGGAGGTAAAGTTATGAAATCTGGGGGAACCAGTTTAAATGGGCCTGATGCAGCTTTAAAAAAAAATTATAACAGTACTACTAACTCTATAAATTCCAGCTATGTGTAAGTTTATCAGTAGAGGAGATGCTGGATCTTCGGCCAATAGAAACACAGACTCAACAACATCAATTTTCGTGTTCAATAAATATTGTTTGTTTATAACTCATTCTGTTCTGTATAGGTCTACTTATTCTTAGATCAACAGATGGAACAAAGTTTTAAAGGAGG